TGCGCGAAATTCAAAACAAACAAACAATCCATAATCTTTAACAACTTAATGAAAATATTTTTACTCACATTATTGTCCTTTCTGTGATTCCTAGTAATATTTGTAACCGTTACACAATTAAAACTATAACATAACCAACTGTTGCATTTTAAACTTGGACTATCTGCTGTCTCCAGTGCGGGGAACCGAACTCTAGATTTTAGCACTGCAAGTCCATAAACTTACCGCTGTCCCGCCAAGAGACATTTGAAATAGAGCCAAAACGCTTTATAGAATGTTTTCAAAAAATACATTGCCGAAAAAGGTTTTGTTTGTTTGTTTGTAGTTGAGCAAAAAAAGCTACACATTAGGCTATCTGTGGTGTGCCATCACGAGTATCGAAATCAGTTTTTTAGCGTTGTAAGCATTAAAACTTACCCCTGTGCCACTGAGAGGCTCCCTTAAGAGAACACGTGAAAATATCGATTTTTCAGAATTTTAAATGAGTTGACGATACATTCATTAAATTATTTACTGGTATATATATAAATGTGTATACGTATGCAGCAAGCGTACATAAAAGTTGCGTTTTACAGCCTTTGGAGCCATTTTACGCAAAAAAATATATATATATCGTTCACAGCAAGTATGACCATAGAAGTAGGTACAGTTTGATAAATTTACGCAGCGCCTATAGATTTGTTTGCGATCGGGCTGTTGAAACAGGCTGTGTGAATATTATGTCCATATACGCTATGTAGGATATGGAAAGCATGCAGGATGTAATGGTATGCTATTGACATGACACTCTTACAATATAGCCTTTTTCAATGGAATTTATGCTGCAAGGCTATTGTCAAGATACGGGGTCGTCAAACGGATGTGACAACGTGGACTGCAACAATGCAATGAATGTTTTAATATAATCTCTTTATACTACTTCCCGCCAGTCATTGGTTTCTGCTTATTTCTCAGTACATACTTCTTATTTTACAGTGTATACTTTCTTTGACAGATTAATTAATTTACTTACTTTTAGTATGGTTACTACTATTTCCTTGTCATGTTTTGTTACTATTTTGTTTTTAGTTTGATTTCTCTTGTTCTTTGTTTGCTAATTACTATTATTTCACTGTCAAGAATGTAATATTAGTATCTAAGCAGCTGATTTATATCTTTAATGATTCTCCTAGCCATTCTATGTTCTTTAGCACAACTGTCTTCATGCAGACGCTTAGATTTTTAAGAGAAAAAAACGAACTCTCTTAATGATCAAAACGAACAAATTCTTGTAATGATAAGAACGAGACAAAAACTACATGACACTAGCCTAGACAACGTGACAACCGATCATAGGGATAATCAGGAATTAAAAAAGAACAAGTTATGGTATTGATAAGAAGGAGACAAAAACTACATGACACTAGCCTAGACAACGTGACAACCGATCATAGGGATAATCAGGAATTAAAAAGGAACAAGTTATGGTATTGATAAGAAGGAGACAAAAACTATATGGCACTAGCCTAGGCAACGTGACAACCGATTACAGGGATAATCAGGAATTAAAAAGGAACAAATTACTGGGATGATAAGAACAAGACAAAACTATATGACACTAGCCTAAACGTGACAACCAATCATAGGGATAATCAGGAATTAAAATGACAAATGATCAGAAGAGTAGATAAATAATGTCTAGGTACCTTAATTTGATAATAATTTTAGAAAAATTAAAATTCATAATTGTAAAATGATACCACATGCACATAACCAGTCTATCTCATTTCATTAAATAGCCTTTCAGCTACGCCAAAACATGAACAGGGGCCTTTGTTTACCTTGGTCTCTTACTGATATTAGAAATAAATTATAAATAAACATTACTTAGCCGGGTAGCAATTCCTCATATATGTGAGTGCTTTTTAGGATGCTGCTAACAGTTTGGTTTTAGCCGTGGCATAGCGGCTCATAGAATGGCTCTGAGTTTTTCAAGTACAGACTTTTAGCTCATAGCTCTGTCGTCTCTTGACCGATTTGAGATATAGCTACAGTTTTAGAATCAGGTCAAACCCTTTCGATTGATGTATTTGACCACGCCCAAGATCTCATAGATTAATTTACTCTAATCATGCCTTAAACAATTTCAATTTGAAGGTAGACTGGTAAAGATCCTGATGAGTAATAAAATCGAATCGGGTATAGACGTGCTCTACGCTTGGTATTGCTGGCACACAGAAATATATCTAATAAAAAGGAAAAAAAAAAGGTCTCATAGATTAATTTACTCTAATCCTGCCTAAAAGAATTTCAAGTGCCCGCTTGTTTACAGTGCTTGAAGTATATAAAAGTACTAGGCATATATTAATTTGAATAACTTCTATTCATTTTGTAAAAATTCGTAACTTCTTACAAATATTATACTTCTCCTGTTTCCTATTAATCACAGTATAGCGAACAAAGAGAAATTCGATGCCACCCCCCAAAAAATTTTCTTCTCTGCTCTTCAATTGGTAAGGGTTTACTTTTTAACAGGGCCTGGTATGGCCTGGTATGGCCTGGTAGTTAGGGCACTGAACTCTCAATCTGCGGGTCATGGATTCGAATTCTTTAACCGTGGGGATGCTATAATGTGACGATCAATCCCACTATTCATTAGTAAAGAGCAGCCCAAAGTTGGCGGATAGTGGTTTTGACTAACTCTTTCCTTGGTTCTATTATTTCAAAATTAGAGAGACGGTTAGCGCAGACAGTCCTGGAGTAGCTTTTCGTGAAATTCAACAAACAATTACTTCAACATTCTTTGGATATTCACCAACGCTAAGGTTTTGTCATTGCTGTTATTTTATCTGTAGTTTGCTTCTATTAATTGATAAGTCGGTCCCTTTATTATTTTAATTTTATTATGAGTACCTGATCAGTTTCAAACATATTATTGGTGTGAACGTTGTCACTATGAGAAAAACCTATGAAGAAAAAGTGTCAGGACCATTATTAAACAATTATCGGAATACTAACTTTATTTATTATAACTGATCAGTTTTCTTACCTTATCCGTTTGCTATTGTCATAACTTGCTTTACTGTTATACTGTCATTGAAATTGATAGTCTATTAATTCTTGATTTGAAATAATAAATTTTCATTTATTTCCTTCAATTACTTTTGAAGTAGATTAGAACTATTAGATAGCTAGTTTTGAGTAGTTTGACGTCATCATTTGTATTCTACATTATGTTAGTTGGATTAATAATACTGTGTCTTTGATCAATACGTGTTATCCTAATTTTTCGTTAGAAATGTAGGCTTAGTTAAGTCAATATCCATATCCATGACACTTGACGAAATATTTCACAAACTTTGTAAGTTTCCTTTAATCCATAATGCTTTAGTATCAGAATAGGAAGTGGGTTCTAAAGCGATATACAGTCATTAAATTATATTTCGCAGAAACCTTTACTTCAATCTGTAACTTGATTAGTTTCTCATATATTATGTAACTCGGGTAAACAAAATATCACGTAACATTGTTTATGAACTTTCTAAACATTGATGCTCGCTTTATAATACTGAGATGAGGGACTACGTTATTAATATCTGCAGCGAAATTAATTATTTGTCTTTAGATCAAAGTAAATGCACTTCTCTGCAGTTCGTAGAACTCAGATTTGAGATGTATGCGAAGGCATTTTCTAACAAGTCAAACTTTGTACAGAAAGACTACTCTTCAGTACACTCTTCACATTAGCATAACTTTGAAATATTTCGAATATAAAATATTTTAATATGCACAGTTTCCTTCAACTGGCTTGATATTTAAATTTTGTATTTACAGAAGACACTGTGATCCCAGAAGCCTGGACGTGATCCTATCGACATCTACCATTGTCAGCCGTTGGAACTTCTTGCACCATGACTGACCGACCAATGAGGTGGCAGTATCGTATTGTTGTCTTATATTTAAGCATGTATACAGTGCTATCAGGTATGTTGTACAGCTATATTATCAGGTACGTTGTAGAGCTATGTTTCAGGTATATTGTACAGTTATGGTATCAGGTATATTGTATAGCTACGTTATCATATATGTTGTACTGCTGTATTTTCACGTATGTTGTTGAGCCATGTTTTCAGGTATGTTATGCAGCTATGTTTTCAGGTATGTTGTACAGCTATATTATCAGGTATGTTGTACAGCTATGTTACCAGGTACAATGTAAAGCTAGGTTATGAGGTATTTGTACAGCTATGTTATCACGTATGTTGTAGAACTATGTCACCAGGTATATTGTACAGCTATATCGTCAGGTATGTTGTACAACTATGTTATCAGCTATATTGTATAGCTATGTTATCAGATATATTGTACAGCTGTGTTTTTGCCAGACACTAATCATAGCAGAACCGTCTGGAAAATGTTCTATAGGAAATAGTACAGCTTATAAAATGAGTCAGATCAACGTAGGCCGGTAAGGCAATCACTGATTGGCAAGTCCTTAAGCCAATCAGGAAATGTCACCAACCTACTGAAGGATATGTAGATTGTATAGGAATTATTTTTGGCGGCAAAGGACAGGTTTATGTGTTTTAATAAAGGTGGCTTCCAAAACATAGAGATGAAAGGTTGACAGACCATTTGCAATGATTTCAAACCTGCTACCGGTGTAGTTGTCAGCACAAGTCTGGTTCACTAGTAAATGCTGGCCAATCGCTGATTCACATTTTGGTGGTAGAACTTTTGTCTTACAGGAGCGATATGGTAAATTATTTTCTTTCACACTCTTATTTCTTATGGATGTGGATATATGTCGCCCTTCACAAAGACTGGAGGATAGAATTAAACAACATGTACCCACATTCAGTGTCTGGCGAAAAGCTTCAGCAGATATTTCCTTTGCAACATCTCAACCAACAATT